TCATCAGAGTACTGGTCCTCATCAACATTACCATGAAGTTTAATACCAAGAAATTTGTTCTGGAGTTGTGCCATTGTATTTCCATCCTCCACTAGCGCACCAACATCAACATATCCCATTGGTTGCTCAACGTCGTTCTCTGTTGTCGGATACTCGAATCCTTCGCGAAGCCAAGCTGTATGAATTGGTTCTGCAGAAATCTTCAACAAAGCAACCATCTTTTTCATGTTTAAGAGTAACAAAGATAACTTCAACTGCAAATTATATGTTTGTTTCTTATCCACCAACACAGGAGTACGGTTGTTGTGTTTCTCAAATGTGGAACCAAGGTCTGCAAACAGAGATTCCATCTGCGAGCGGAAACTACCAAAGGTGGTATTGTATAACGCTTCTTCCTGTGTAAGTTCCTTGTTCTTCTGTTTACGGTATGGATGAGCGAAATTTTGGACTTTAAGAGTATCAGACTCATCTATAAGCCTCCTTAAGAACTGTGGATACCCTCCATCGAGAGCAATGCAATCCATCTCATGCACTCTCTTGTCCAACTTCATCGTTAGCAGCATTGTTCCATCAGCATTGTTCTTGCAAGATGCAGATTTGGAGACAAATAAAGCCATGCCATTACAATCCATTGCTACCTGTGTGCGTAATCCTGACTTTTTCAGCTTGTAAGAGTACATATCAGCACTACTCTCACCTTTGTATGTTGCTCTTGTATCATGACCATCAAGATGCAATGTAACATGCTTAAATAATGGAGGATTCTTTTCCTTTGCAGACAAAAGGCGTATTTTAATTGTGGAGAACATTGTTGCAATACAGTTGGTGATGTACTTGTTGTGCAAAGTATATTCTTTCTTATAAAACACAGAGTGCATTGCATGAAAACTACTTTTTGGCATGTGTGGTTCCATTGCTTCCATAGACAGTCCTTTGACAAGATGATAGAGCATTAAAAGACCTTTCTCCACTTCTTTGTATGGACCAGGATACTTAACCTTTGGCCAGATGTCAACAAGAAAGAAGTACACTGGAATAGGACCAAGGCGTCGATTTAGGGTTTCTTTTATTTCTGGCATATACCCAATTTCCTTGCTTACAGTACGATGATTATTACGTGGTGTAATTGTTGGCCATCCAGCGTTGAGGAAAGTCCAATGGTCATCAAGCAGTTGTTGGAAGTGTTTTGTTAGATCCATAATAATATTTATGTATTGGATTGTCATGACGTTAACCAACAATAACAATTTTTTAAAAAGGCTTATACTTAACTGTATACACAACAGCATGTAGGATGGTATCTATCATACAGCAAGCACATAGTTGAGAATACAAATATATTTTTATATTTTATTCGGTAGCGGCCCCTTCATGTGCAGAGGATATAAAAAGGCATATAAAAAATATCCAAAGTCCAAGGAACGGAGTGTTGACTTCCATAACTGGCATATCTCTTCATAGTGGGCAACAGAACACAGAATAAAATAGCAATAGACAGCACAAGAATTTTTAAAATGTAATCTCTCCCCTGTATTTCACGACAAAGATACAGTTGGGAATACAAGTGCTTTAGATGATCACATACAAGAACTACTCTGTCGAATCTTGCAGTGAGGGTTACAGGTTAATAGTAGATGGACATATTCAAGAGTTTGGTGTGCGAAAAATAAGAAGACTTTGTTGTTTGGAGAATGTAGTTGTGTTTAGTAGGATAATCGCGCAAGGAATGTTACAGTGGTTGTTTTAAATGGTTGATATCATACATACACTCTCCTCTAATGGACGCGGTGGATATCGTCAAGATCTGCAGAGATGTAACAAACACCATATGATAATTTGGACTTGAAAGGCCTCCTTATGGTGCCCCTGTGTTGTTTGTAAAAAAGAAGGATGGTTCCTTGCGTATGTGTGTTGATTACAGAGGGTTAAACCGGATTACAAAAAAGAACAGACACCCCCTTCCTCGCATTGATGAACTTATCGACCGTTTCCGCGGGGCACGCTACTTTACCAAACTTGACCTCCTCTCCGGTTACCATCAGCAACGTATAGCAGAAGAGGACACACACAAGACAGCCTTCCGTTGCCGCTACGGCCATTTCGAATTTAATGTGGTCCCTTTCGGGTTAACGAATGCACCGGCGTCCTTCTCCAATATGATGCTACGAGTATTAGACCCTGTTCTCGACAAGTGGGTTGTTGTTTACCTCGACGACATTCTTATCTACTCGCGCACCGAGGCCGAACATCTACAACATCTCCGATCCGTCCTCACGCTCCTCCGCAAGTACGGTCTCTACGCCAAGTTGAGCAAGTGCTCCTTTATGCAGGAAGAGACCGAGTTCCTCGGCCACGTCATCTCCAAGGACGGTATCCACACGAGCGGCGGTCTCGTTCGTGCCATCCGTGAATGGCCCCGTCCCCAGAAGCAGAAAGATGTTCAGCAGTTTGTTGGTCTTGCACAGTTCTATCATCAGTACATCGCTAACTTTGCCTCGATCGCCCTACCGTTGACCGCTCTCTTAGGTGAAGGCGTTCCTTTCTCTTGGTCTCAGGAGCAGGAAGTAGCGTTTACGACTCTGAAGGAGGCCATCAGTAAAGCACCTGTTCTACGTATCTTCGACCCCGACCTTCTAACAACCGTCGAAACCGATGCCTCCGGCTTTGCTCTCGGTGCCGTTCTCTTTCAGACCGATGAGCATGGCGAGTCGCGCCCCGTCGCCTTCACCTCCCGCAAGCTGAACTCTGCCGAACGCAACTACCCAACACACGAACAGGAACTGTTGGCTGTTGTACATGCATTGAAGACATGGCGCTACTATCTGGACGGATCCCACTTCATTGTATACACCGACCATGCCACCCTCCAACACTTCCCCACTCAACCCAAACTCACCCGCCGTCAGGCCCGCTGGATGGAACTGTTGCAGGAATACAACTTCACCTTCAAGTATAAGAAAGGAGCCGACAACATTGTCCCAGATGCCCTGTCTCGCCGACCGGACCATAGAGAGATTAACACACTCTCAGTACAGCTCGACCCCAGGCTCCGGCAGCGCCTGATGGATGGTTACAAAGAGGATCACCGCCTCAAACCGATCTATGAAAGCTGCCTCCAGGGAAGTCCACCGTCTAATTACTCTCTTGTTGATGGTGTTCTTTGCATTCAACGTAATGATCTTTTACTTGTTTGTATCCCCTCGAACTCTGACCTTCGGCTTTCTCTTCTTCACGATGCACACGACTCCGCTATAGCTGGTCACTTCGGTTTCGAGAAGACGTACGGTCATCTCCACTCGCGGTTCTTCTGGCCATCTATGGCGAAGGACACCCGGCTGTATGTGCAGACCTGTGAGTCGTGCCAAAGGACTAAGCCCAGCAACCAACCACCTGCTGGCCTCCTCCAGCCCCTACCCATTCCCGATCGACCCTGGCAAACGGTGACAATGGACTTTGTCGGCCCCCTACCCAAGACCCCACGCGGCTTTGACTCCATTACGGTCTTTGTTGACAAACTCACAAAGCAAGTGCACTTTGCCCCCTGCCACACCACCGACTCCGCCTCGCAAGTTGCACGCATTTTTTTCGACCATGTTTTCCGCTTGCACGGCATGCCGACCACTATTGTCTCCGACCGCGATACCAAGTTCACGAGCCGCTTTTGGAAAGAATTGAGCCGTCTGATGGACGTCCACCTTGCCATGTCGACTGCCTTCCACCCTCAGACCGATGGCCAGACCGAGCGTGCCAACCGCACCCTTATCACCATGCTCCGTAACTTTGTCGACCAACGGCAGTCTAACTGGGACCTCCTACTTTCCGCCGCCGAATTTGCCACGAACAACGCCACCAATGCCTCCACTGGAGTCTCCCCGTTCTTCTTGAACTCCGGAGCCCATCCCAACATGCCCATGTCATTGTTGACCCCTACTCCCGGCCCCAACCCATCGGTTAACGAGTTCGTGCAATCTCGAAGCGAAGCCCTCACCCTCGCTAAGGAGTCCCTTGCTGCCGCCCAAGAACGTCAAGCAGCCAACGCCGACATCCGTCGGCGAGAGCATGATTTCAAGGTTGGTGACCACCTTCTCCTTAACCTTGAGAATATCACCTTACCCTCGGACCGCACCCGCACGTCGCAGAAACTCTTGGCTCGCTTTGCCGGCCCCCACACCATTGTTGAACAGCTGTCCCCGGTCTCCTTCCGCCTTGATCTTCCACCGTCCATGAAGATTCACCCCGTCTTCCACGTCGACCGATTCCGACGCTACCAACCATCACCTGCGACGCTAGGACCAAGAACACCAGCACGGCCACCACCGGTTATCGTTGAAGATGAGGAAGAGTATGAGGTCGAGGCCATTGCAGATCATAGCGGCCCCTTCATGTGCAGAGGATATAAAAAGGCATATAAAAAATATCCAAAGACCAAGGAACGGAGTGTTTACTTCCATAACTGACATATCTCTTCATAGTGGGCAACAGAACACAGAATAAAATAGCAATAGACAGCACAAGAATTTTTAAAATGTAATCTCTCCCCTGTATTTCACGACAAAGATACAGTTGAGAATACAAGTGCTTTAGATGATCACATACAAGAACTACTCTGTCGAATCTTGCAGTGAGGGTTACAGTTTAATAGTAGATGAACACATTCAAGATATTGGTGAGCGAAAAATAAGAAGACTTTGTTGTTTGGAGAATGTAGTTGTGTTTAGTAGGATAATCGCGCAAGGAATGTTACAGTGGTTGTTTTAAATGGTTGATATCATACATACACTCTCCTCTAATGGACGCGGTGGATATCGTCAAGATCTGCAGAGATGTAACAAACACCATATGATAATTTGGACTTGAAAGGCCTCCTAGGTGGAAGTGTCGAAGACATGTTACATTTTTAAAAAGTTCATGCTATATATACAACCACAAATGCCAACTGTTGACAATTGGATAGTTTTTAAAATATCTACTCTTCATCTGTCTCAACAACTACCAAAACTTTACATCTGGAGAGACAATTTAGGCAATTCCTCGATCGTGAACCCCATGGCAATTAACTTCTGCTTTTGTTTGTTGTTGGTAAATTTGTCTCGACTATAGTTACTGTCACCGTTTGCAGGTATCTTATACAGCAGTCCAACAATAATGTCCTCTTCGTACCTCTTGAGCAGATGACATCCGTCGAAAAGGTAGTTGGTTGCATATTCATGCTTCTTGTCAAACGAACATGTTGTCCATTTAATTTCGTCTTTATCTATGACGATTATACCCGAGGAGCTTTTATCTTTAGGGTACCTTTTCCACATAACATCCTCAGCATCTTTATCATCCTCAGCATCTTTATCATCTTCAGCATCGTTATCACCCTCAGCATCTTTGTCATCCTCAGCATCGTTATCACCCTCAGCATCTTTGTCATCTTCAGCATCTTTATCACCCACCGCATCTTTGTCATCCTCAGCATCTTTATCGCCCTCAGCATCTTTATCATCCTCACATGTGCTCTCATCTTTCTGTGGCAAGCTTTGCTTATGCTCATGCGGTTTAAATCCCATAGCAAACAACTTCTCTTTTTCCTTCTGGCTAAGAGAATGACACTCTACATTCTCTGCAGCAATATGGTCATCAGTCATCAAGCCGATTACAGTGTCTTTTTTGCGCATCTTGAGAATGTGCATTCCATTTACAAGTACATTCTCGGAATATTCCAAGTACTTGTTAAGTTTTTTCCATATCACCTTGGATTTATCTGTTGGTCCTTCTACTGGTACTTCTTCTTCTACTTCGATCTCCTCGTTGAAAAGCGTCTTTCTCTCTTCATCAGACAATGGTTGAAGTTTCATCTTGCTAAGCATGGAGCGTTCCAAGATATCCAACTCTGGAACATCACCGACACCGCGCAGAGCATCAAGCGTAAACAGGCCAACGTATGTATTCTTTCCAGATAGCCTGACAATGTACTTGCCATTCATCGTAAACTTAGTTGCATAGTCAAGCATGTCGTTATTAGGATGAATCATCCATCCTCTGTCCTTCGCACGTGCTATGTCTTTCTCTGATCTAATGTTATGCACCGTTGTGGCCAGTGCAAATGTATGTTCATCTTTTCCATCCTTAGAAACGTCTACATTAGAAGATGGCTCTGCATTTTTGGGCATCTTTGAAGGCCTTTTCTTTCGAAGAGTCTTCTTCTTATCATCCTTAGATGACTTTTTATGAGATAGTTTTTCATCAGGGTTATCCTTAGAGGTATCATCTCCAGATTCTACATTAGGTCTGTTATTGGACTTGCCATCATCAGAGTCTTTATCATCAGGGGAATCATCGTCAGAGCCAGCATCATCAGACGTATCACCATCATCAGACGTATCACCATCATCTGTATCATCGTCAGAATTCTCATCAGCAGAAGACTCTTCTATTTTTTCTACATCTGCAGGAGTTGCCTCTTGGAGTCCCATCTTTTGCAATATACGTACCTCTTTGTCAGATAATTCCGGTACAGGAAGATTTTTCCCCATGAGCTCAGGTGGACACAATACAACGTAGAGATCCTTTTCCTTCAGCTTAATAATGTACTTGCCATTTACAGTATAGTTTTTTGCATAGAGAAAAGCTGGATTAGTTGCATAACGCATCCATATGCCTGTATTAGCGAGTGGTACATTTTTCTTGGACGTTATGTCAACTACCTTTGGACTCAACGGAAAGGAGACGGCAATTTTATCTTCTTCATCATCATCGTCGGACGGCTCTTCATCCTCGGAAGTCATATCGTCATCAGATGATACAAACTTAGAAGTATGTGTCTTCTTTAAAGCCTTGGAAGACTTGGGACGCGTAACGACAGGTGCATTCTTGTTACCACGTTTTATATGACCTCTATCTTGATCTTGATGACGCCCACAGTATGTTTGACCAATTTTGGCTACACTACCACAATTAGCGCCCTTAATGGTTGTGCCTTGACACTTGCGCGCAGGATCGTGGACATAACAATGCATGCCTTCATCGTCAACTTCCTTCATGCATTTACGCTTGGACTTGACGCACTTTGCTCCACAAAAGTAGTATCTCTCCACTTCCTTATCCCCATCAAGCGCCTTAAAGATCTTATTTGCATCTTTCTTGGTAAACTCCACTCCCTTCTTAGAAGAAAATGTCTCGAAGGCCTTGGTGATGAGCTCGATTGTAAGCTGAACGTACTGCATGTTTTTGGATATGAACGATATAGATTGTACTTGTGGTATGGTGGGTGTGAATGACTTTTCAGTTTATGTGTGGTAGATTGCAGCTGCTTAGTACACTGATATAAAGAATTGCAATAAAAGATGGTTGTATAGGTATGGATGGTTGTATAGATATGGATAATGGTTGGTTGGTTACTAGATAAGATAAAGATTAAGCAAGAGGGAAGTGGAGTCCTTTATTTATACTAATTCATGGGACAATGCCACATTGGATATTAATAGCGCTTGCTTATTAACACTGCTTGGCGCTTAGTAACAAAAGAGTTTTAAAAAGGCATCTAAGTGGTTAATAACGTAGTGTTCCTCGTATGACGTAGATCTTGCTTATTAAGACTGCTTGGCGTTAAAGACGGGGTTTAAAAATGGTTAAGAATGTAGTATTCTTTTATGACGTAGGTTTGTACATGTGTTTATGTATTCTTTTATGACGTAGGTTTGTACATGTGTTTATCCTCTTTGTTAAATAAAAAGGAATGTTGTAGAATAGCATAGAATAGCATCCGATCTACTACAATAATACCATGACTTTTAATAATAGATACCGGTGCATATTAGCGTCTAGGCAGTTAATACCGTATCTCAATGCTGACTAAATAGGCTATGTATGACTATTCTTTTAAAAACCTGCAATAAGTCTACAGATTACCATTAACATCCATTTGTCGCTTCGTACCTCTAAGCTCAATGGAAAGACCGGGTTGCATTATTACTGCTTGATCCATTGGTGTGTCCTCATCAACATTAACATCAACATCACCATGAAGATTAATACCAAGAAATTTGTTCTGGAGTTGTGCCATTGTATTTCCATCCTCCACTAGCGCACCAACATCAACATATCCCATTGGTTGCTCAACGTCGTTCTCTGTCGTCGGATACTCGAATCCTTCGCGAAGCCAAGCTGTATGAATTGGTTCTGCAGAAATCTTCAACAAAGCAACCATCTTTTTCATGTTTAAGAGTAACAAAGATAACTTCAACTGCAAATTATATGTTTGTTTCTTATCCACCAACACAGGAGTACGGTTGTTGTGTTTCTCAAATGTGGAACCAAGGTCTGCAAACAGAGATTCCATCTGCGAGCGGAAACTACCAAAGGTGGTATTGTATAACGCTTCTTCCTGTGTAAGTTCCTTGTTCTTCTGTTTACGGTATGGATGAGCGAAATTTTGGACTTTAAGAGTATCAGACTCATCTATAAGCCTCCTTAAGAACTGTGGATACCCTCCATCGAGAGCAATGCAATCCATCTCATGCACTCTCTTGTCCAACTTCATCGTTAGCAGCATTGTTCCATCAGCATTGTTCTTGCAAGATGCAGATTTGGAGACAAATAAAGCCATGCCATTACAATCCATTGCTACCTGTGTGCGTAATCCTGACTTTTTCAGCTTGTAAGAGTACATATCAGCACTACTCTCACCTTTGTATGTTGCTCTTGTATCATGACCATCAAGATGCAATGTAACATGCTTAAATAATGGAGGATTCTTTTCCTTTGCAGACAAAAGGCGTATTTTAATTGTGGAGAACATTGTTGCAATACAGTTGGTGATGTACTTGTTGTGCAAAGTATATTCTTTCTTATAAAACACAGAGTGCATTGCATGAAAACTACTTTTTGGCATGTGTGGTTCCATTGCTTCCATAGACAGTCCTTTGACAAGATGGTAGAGCATTAAAAGACCTTTCTCCACTTCTTTGTATGGACCAGGATACTTAACCTTTGGCCAGATGTCAACAAGAAAGAAGTACACTGGAATAGGACCAAGGCGTCGATTTAGGGTTTCTTTTATTTCTGGCATATACCCAATTTCCTTGCTTACAGTACGATGATTATTACGTGGTGTAATTGTTGGCCATCCAGCGTTGAGGAAAGTCCAATGGTCATCAAGCAGTTGTTGGAAGTGTTTTGTTAGATCCATAATAATATTTATGTATTGGATTGTCATGACGTTAACCAACAATAACGATTTTTTAAAAAGGCTTATACTTAACTGCATACACAACAGCATGTAGGATGGTATCTATTATACAGCAAGCACATAGTTGAGAATACAAATATATATTTTTATATTTTTTTCGGTAGCGGCCCCTTCATGTGCAGAGGATATAAAAAGGCATATAAAAAATATCCAAAGACCAAGGAACGGAGTGTTTACTTCCATAACTGACATATCTCTTCATAGTGGGCAACAGAACACAGAATAAAATAGCAATAGACAGCGCAAGAATTTTTAAAATGTAATCTCTCCCCTGTATTTCACGACAAAGATACAGTTGAGAATACAAGTGCTTTAGATGATCACATACAAGAACTACTCTGTCGAATCTTGCAGTGAGGGTTACAGTTTAATAGTAGATGAACACATTCAAGATATTGGTGAGCGAAAAATAAGAAGACTTTGTTGTTTGGAGAATGTAGTTGTGTTTAGTAGGATAATCGCGCAAGGAATGTTACAGTGGTTGTTTTAAATGGTTGATATCATACATACACTCTCCTCTAATGGACGCGGTGGATATCGTCAAGATCTGCAGAGATGTAACAAACACCATATGATAATTTGGACTTGAAAGGCCTCCATAGGAAGGTTAACAACAACATGGAGTACCTTCTACAATGGCAAGGATACCCGCGCGAGGACTGGACATGGGAACCAGAGAGTGAACTGGCACACTGTAAGGACATCCTCAACAAGTACAAGCGCGACCATGGCCTTAGGACTTAGCGGATTATTTTTAAGAGGGGAAGGTGCAACATATTAGGTTTATCATTGCTCTCTAGTTAGTCATTCCTTGTCACTCTCTATCATCTCTGACTCACTATGACACTACACCTAGAAACCTAGTTGACGACTTTGTATATATATTTAGTTGTACCATAGTAATAACATCAATCATCACTGCTTCAACTCTCGTCCCCGTTCTATACTTCTCTGTCCCAGTCTTCGCCTGTTGCATATGTCCATTTGGATTCTTTTGCTTTTGTATATGTACTCTTTATAGATGTATTTGTTATCTTTTTAAAAACTCCTTCCATAATTGTCTGTACAAATTCTTGCAACCTCCATTGGTATTCCATAACATATTCATCTATTTCGACCCAAGACGATTCCCATTTAGATGTGTATTTTGTTTTACAGATTGGCTTTGATATCCGCGACAAATATATTCCCCACGTTGACCTATTATGTATCTCTTATTTTATAATCTACTCTTGATCTACTTTAATATTCCAATGCGTGGGTTGGGTACTCCCTCGCCCAAAAAAAAGCGCTCCAACCTTTTTGTCCTGCCCGATTACCGATATGTAAAATATGTTTATGTTGATACTCTCTCCTTACGTTTTGCTCTTGTAATACTGCTAGATAACTATGTCCATTTGGATTCTTTTGCTTTTGTATATGTACTCTTTATAGATGTATTTGTTATCTTTTTAAAAACTCCTTCCATAATTGTCTGTACAAATTCTTGCAACCTCCATTGGTATTCCATAACATATTCATCTATTTCGACCCAAGACGATTCCCATTTAGATGTGTATTTTGTTTTACAGATTGGGAATCGTCTTGGGTCGAAATAGATGAATATGTTATGGAATACCAATGGAGGTTGCAAGAATTTGTACAGACAATTATGGAAGGAGTTTTTAAAAAGATAACAAATACATCTATAAAGAGTGCATAGCGGCCCCTTCATGTGCAGAGGATATAAAAAGGCGTATAAAAAATATCCAAAGCCCAAGGAACGGAGTGTTGACTTCCATAACTGGCATATCTCTTCATAGTGGGCAACAGAACACAGAATAAAATAGCAGTAGACAGCACAAGAATTTTTAAAATGTAATCTCTCCCCTGTATTTCGCCCCAAAGATACAGTTGAGAGTACAAGTGCTTTAGATGATCACATACAAGAACTACTCTGGCGAATCTTGCAGTGAGGGTTACAGGTTAATAGTAGATGGACACATTCAAGAGTGTGGTGTGCGAAAAATAAGAAGACTTTGCGGCCCCTTCATGTGCAGAGGATATAAAAAGGCATATAAAAAATATCCAAAGTCCAAGGAACGGAGTGTTGACTTCCATAACTGGCATATCTCTTCATAGTGGGCAACAGAACACAGAATAAAATAGCAATAGACAGCACAAGAATTTTTAAAATGTAATCTCTCCCCTGTATTTCACGACAAAGATACAGTTGAGAGTACAAGTGCTTTAGATGATCACATACAAGAACTACTCTGGCGAATCTTGCAGTGAGGGTTACAGGTTAATAGTAGATGGACATATTCAAGAGTTTGGTGTGCGAAAAATAAGAAGACTTTGTTGTTTGGAGAATAGGTTGGTGTTTAGTAGGATAGTTAAACAAAAAATGTTACAATGGTTGTCTTATATGCTTGGTATCATACATACACTCTCCTCTAATGGACGCGGTGGATATCGTCAAGATCTGCAGAGATGTAACAAACACCATATGATAATTTGGACTTGAAAGGCCTCCTTTGTTGTTTGGAGAATAGGTTGGTGTTTAGTAGGATAGTTAAACAAAAAATGTTACAATGGTTGTCTTATATGCTTGGTATCATATATACATTCTCATCCCATGGTCGCTATGGATATTGTCGAGATCTACAGAGATGTAACAAACACCATATGATAACTTGGACGTGAAAGGCCTCCTAGGTGAATGTTTTAAACAAATATGGGTAATGCAATAGTGCTGAGGGTGCATGCATTGTGGAACTTCTCAGATGAAGTTATCGTGGTTTTCATGATGTTTGATATAACATACTTTGTTGGAAGTCACGATTGTTATGATATTTGTTGATATACAGATCGTTGGTAAACATGCCAATGGTGAAAAAATAAATGTCATAAAGAGTGCATGCATTGTAGAACATCTTAGATATAGTTATTGTAATTTTCGTGATGTTAAATACAAGCAGATTGTGGATAAACACC